GACCTAGGACGAGTGGATAGTGGCTGAAATTAGTTACGCTAGTCCATTGATCTTTCCTGGAAAACTGGATCGGGTACTCGGACCAGTTAAGGTACTTTGGTGTTGAAGGTTCTCCTGCCATGATATCTTGAAGAGCCAACTTCCTAGAGCGCTTGTTTGATGAAGTCGGTAACCCCACAAAGATTACTGCAATTTGGCCCTTGGACTGTTGGAAGCCAGGGTCAGCATTGTCGTCTCCATCTTTGTTGTTATCAGTTTTACCCTTGCCTCTGTTGATTTTGGCATAGAAACCTAGTTCTTGGAGTTGTCTGCACTCGGCCGTCGTGTGCTTGGCGTTTCTGTGGAAAGGGCAAGGTAAATTCTTGAGGTCTTTGAACTTCTTATTATTCTTGTTAGACTTCTTGGACCTATCCATGGAAGCAAGGGTGTTGTCGGGTCCTCTCTTTCTAGCGAATTTTCCACCCTGATTGCTTCTAGGGTCCTAACCTTTGTCTTGTGGGCCGCGTGGGAATCATTTGCGAGTACGCTCTTCAAATGCAATCATCTTTTGTACTGTACGCTTTAATTCCTCAACGGTCTCTAGGTTGTCGTCGCATAATTTTTCAAACTACCACTTGTATTTGATCCTGTTGGCGAAGTGATCTATCACCTCCTTGTATGTGATATCAAAGACTTAGACTCATATTTCAGCAAAGTGGTGATAATATCGCTGGAAGGATTCATCTAGTTTCTGTTTGCAAGTTCTAAGCTTGTTCTGAGTACTTGGGTGGGTGAGGACACCACAAAATTTTCATAGAATTTGCGTTGAAGCTATCCCCAAGTATCAATGGAGTGGGCTCGTAGTCTATCAAACTAGGCGAGAGGCATAGTATTGAGGGCCATGGGAAAATATAATACTTTGATGTCATCATCGCCACCTGCTAACTCGATGGACTGAGACTAGATGCGCAACCATTAGTTAGGTTCTATCTTCTTGTCGTACTTGGTATGGTTAGATGGCTTAAACTTGTAGGGAAGCCGCACAGAGAGTAGTTTGTCAGAGAAACATGGGAACATGTCCGGTGGGATACCAACTTCTCTGCACTCGGACTTGCCTCTGCCTTCCCTATTGTTGTATTGGTGTCCATGATAGGCCAACTGTGTGGCACCCTAATTCCTATTCTGGTTACCCTATGGTCCTAGACAAGAGTGGGCTGGTACTCATTGTTTTCCTCCTTGGTTACCCTATGGTCCAAGACGAGAGTGGGCTGGTGCCCGTGCCTCTAGTCCTTGGAAAGGGTTAGCTTGAGATATCGCTTTTGCAGCCTGCATCTAAAGGGTTGTTGATTCCAAAATGACTTTGAGTCATTGCTAATTTGGAGTAGGGTTTTCTATGGCCGCCATCTCCTCTACTAGGGCATAGACATTGGTGTAGGGTGTGGTAAAGACTCTGTGGCTAGCTACTTCCATGAATTCAGGCTCAAGGTTGCATGATGCAGAGGCTCTGATGGCATCATGGTCTTGGCACCGTCGTTTAGCTTCTTCATCCCGTAGACATTGTTCATACGTTGCCTCTGCAGCCATGCGTCGTTGTTCAACGTCTCGACAAGTCGATTGATACCGCTGCCACTCCTCCCTACGGTGTTGGGCGCGGTTATGTCGAGCCTATCGAGCTCTATTCTTTCTTTCCCTAATCGTCTTCTGCTCATCCGTCTCTCCATTGGGTGGCGCAGTGTCTGGGGAGATATCGGACAAGGTTTCTTCTCCATCTTGGATATCTAGTGGGTTAGGCATAGGGATCTGAGGTGGTTGTCCAGCCATGAAGACTTCTCTAGAGTGCTTCATGGTCGAGTGAGTTCTAGATTCTGCAGTCATCGCAATGTCCAAGATCTCTATAGAATCGTGATCGTTGTTGTCCGCTGGAAGAGTGTTGCCGTCCTGATAAGGCAAGAGCTCCACCATGCCAACTAGATGAGATGGATATGCTAAAGAAGTGTCAGGTCAAGCACCTGGCCAATGGACGATAACTCCTTTGGGTGTGATGGATAGAACCAATCCTCTTTGGGCACCCGCAAGAGGGATTTCTTGCTCAGATTGCACGAGGTGTCTAATTGTATCTTGATAGATTGAAGCCGAATTCTTGAGTCCAAGTGAAAAATGAACTGGGTCTTTGAGTTGGACTTTAGATGGGATCTCCAACTCGAACAAAAGTGATGTGTCCGAGAGGGAATCAGTTGTGATGGTGACCTCCTAAGTTCGAGTTGAATCAGAAATTGAGAGGTGTGAAAACTTCTCAGTGAGTTGATCCAGTGTGATCATCGAGACATCTAGTGAAGTTTGAGGCTCCGAGATCTCCATGAGACGACTTTGGAACTTGTCGTTGTCGTCTGCCTTGCAGATCTAGGAGCCGAAGATGAAGCTGGTTCTCACCGAGAAAATCATGTTGTCGAGGTCCGCTGAGCTCTCGATCATGAAGTCACCGAAAGCCCCTACCAGGCACACCAACTATCGATGTTTGATGACTGGCAACTCATCATGGGATTACCCGGGACAATGTTCGAAGGGCTTTGGTGTATGCAGAACTCGATAGTAAACGCAAAGAGACGAACGATTTATACTAGTTTGGGCCCTCTTGATGAGTAATAGCCTTTACGTTCAGTCGACGTGTAGCCTTTTTTGTGTTGGATTGATTGTATGATTGTTAGGGTTATAAGGGGGTGCGCCGTACCTCTCTTTATATAGGGGAGAGAATAAGGGAATGTATCTAGTCCTAGTCGATTACAAGAGAAGAGTCCTAGTCCTATTACAGAATCTAGTTTTCATAGTAAGCCGACTAAGTTGATCTAGAATAGTTTGAAGTCTACGCCACCTTGTCTTGCGTCCTTCAACATATTGTGGGCCATCCTAGGGCCCATCCGGGTAGAACTCCCATGGAGAACCCCTAGGACCCTGGTCTGTCACCGCCATGTGGCACTGCATTCAACCCTGCCCGTTCATCTCCAACGGTCAGCAGACTTCGCGCATGTGGTTTAAGTTCTGACTAGACGTGCGGTTAATATGACCGGACTCATGAACATAGAGCATCAGGTCGTGTCTAGACACTACATAGAGAGAATTTCGAGCGACCGGACGTGTCCTTTCACGCGTGACCGAACTCACCGGTGCGTCCGGAGTCCTCTCTGCTCAACTTCGTGTGCACCACACAGACGTGACCGGATGCGTGAATAGTGTTCACCCAGCGTTAGGTCACGCGTCGCCTCCTGCGTTCGATCGACCGCCCAAGCAGCGCCCTCTCTGCTACACATGACCAAACTCTGCGCCTAGGTCCGGTCCTACGTCCGGTCCCAACTCGGCCCTCTCGGCCAAGTGCTGTGCCACCTAGGGACAAGCACCGGACACGTCCGGTCAAGCCGAGACCAGCGATTCGGTCATATGTGAGTGACCCCTTCTCTTTCTTTTCACTTCACCCTTGCTTCCATATGCCAATGCTAAAGTGTCTCACCACTTGTGCACGTGTGTTAGTAAGTTTTCAAAGCATTTTTAAGGGTCAATTGTTAGCGCATTAGGTCCCTAAATGCATATGCATGAATCACTTCACCTAGTGGCACTCGATAACCGTTTAACCAAATATTTTCCCTCTTTATAGTACGGCTATCGATCCTAAATACACTCACACCCTCTATGATGTCTTGAGTGCCAAAACAAAAACCTATTTTATACTTTTGCCTTGATCAACAGTTGGTTTTTATTTTTCTCTTTCTTCTTTTCCAAGTTAGAGCACTTGATCATCTCTTTTGGTCACCACCATCACTATGACTATTATCTAGCTCCATCATTTGGTGTGTACCACCCTATCTCAATCACAACACTTAATGACAAGGGTTAGTACACATAGGTCTCATCAATTATCCAAAATAAAACTAGGGCTTTCAACGCGGCACTGTCGCACCGTGTAGGGTGGTGAGGCAGGGCCACCATGTCAATGTCTAATGGTCAGCAGACCTGCCACGTTGGCGGTCTCGTCACACCGGCATGCATGGCGCGGCAACGTGCATCAGCCATGCCATGGCATTAGGCGTGGTAAAAAGTGTTAGTTTTGAAAAAAAAATAACTGTGTTAGATTTAAAAATAATATTAAAAAGTGTTAAAATAAAAATCCCACGCAAGCTGGCCCATCCTGCAAGCGTGCGTGCGTGACATGTATATACCACGGGAACATAAAAAATATATGATAAAACATCACATGAATACTACATAAACATCACAAAATACATTATAGAGCATAATTATATATAATTTGAACATTACAAAATACATAATAGAACATCTCATGAAATAAAAAAAAAGTAAACATGAAAAAATAATTAATTAGAATAAAATAGAAAAAAAAAAAAAATCTATAGGAAACATAAAGATAAAAGGAAAAAATAAAAAGAAAGAAAAAAATAAAGTAAAACAAACAAAATAGTTAATTATAGTAAAATCAAAAAAGAAATAAAAGAAAGATAAAAATATTAAAAAAATAAAAATAATAATAATAATTCACATAAAACAAAAATAATAATAAAAATAAATTGAAGCCTATAAATAAAAAGAACAAGAAAAAAGAAATAAAAAGAACAAGAAAAAAGAAAGAAAACAAAACAAAAAGAAAAATTTAAAGAAAGATAAAAAATAAAAAACATGAATCAAAGAAAACATAATTATAAAAGAAACAAGAAAAAAATTTAGATAAATAATAATAAAATAAAAAATAGAAATAAAAACCATAGGAAAAGAAAATGAAAAGAAAAAAGAAAAAGAAATATATAAAATGAAAGGAAACTAAGAGAAACACGTAGCTGCTTACCTGCCTACACAGCATAATCGACGTTTCCGGTCCGGCCGTTCTTACCTGAAGAATCCCGCCCGTTGCCCGCACCCACGAGCAACCCTCCCCGGCCCCGTTGCCAACTTGCCATCCTGGTTCCTGGCAGTGCAGCTCCCGCATCTCTAATCCTCACGTGCGCACCGCCGGCTCGATGCAATTCCCCACCCGCCCACCAACCTTCCCGTCCCCGATGGCGATCATGGCGGCCACCGCCACTGCCGTCGCTTCCCCCTCCAGCTCCACCTCGCCAGATCCCCTCCACCCCAGCCTCCGCTTCCTCCCTCCCGCCTCCACTCCCGCCTGCTGCCGTCTCCTCCCCACGGCGCCGCGGTGGTGCGCGCGCCTCCACATCGCGCCCCGGGTGGCCGTCGGCAGCGACGTGTCCTCGTCCCATGACGTAGCTGCCGAGGAGGCCGCGGCTGCGCCCAAGGTCGGGAAGCGCGTGCGCGTCACGGCGCCTGTCCGCGTCCACCACGTTGCCAAGGCGCCCGGCCTGGACCTGCGCGGCATGGAGGGCGTCGTCAAGCAGTACATCGGCGTTTGGAAGGGCAAGCGCGTCACGGCCAATCTCCTCTTCAAGGTGGAGTTCGTGCTCAAGCTGGACGGCCAGGAAAAGCCGATCCGGTTCATCGCCCACCTCCGCGAGCAAGAGTTCGAGATCGTCGGGGACGAATAGAGCTCTGGATTAGAGAATAACGCGCTCTCAGCGGCGGCTGTGGCATCTGTATACTATTGTGTCTGTGCGAAAGGAGGACGTTGTCGAGGCTGTGAGGAGATTGCAACTTTGCTAGTAAGTTGCTGTTTGTTTGCTTATTTGCGGTGCGCTTCTCCCCTCTCCTTCCTTTAACATTGAAATTTTCATATGTGAGGAATTGTTCGAATGTTTGTTGATACTTATGATCCAAAGTAATTAAACTGACGAATCTGTTCAGCATTATGTTCTTTTGATATTGATTGTTCAAGATAAAAAAAAATAGCTCTAGGGGTGAGTAATACTGTGATATATGATGGAGAGTAGTTAAATTTGTTTGATACGTGGATAATAAGAATTAGCTTGATCTTGGCTCAAACAGGAGGCCTGGTTTCTCCGAGTAAAATAAGAAGCCATCTGCTGAATTGTTGATAGTCATGCAACTTGAATAAGGATGGCAAAAATTTATGAGTATAATAATTCTGTTATGAAATTTAGTTGTCTCACCTTGTAAATTTACTCTTCAGATGTTTCTTGATTTCATCATTACTTCTATAGCATTGGTCTTGAGTATTCTTTCAAGATATACAACAACAGAAGTCCTGAAGGCAAGGGAAAAGATGCCAGACAGGATTTCTCACCTGCGGGGTAAGCCAACCCCCCACCGGCATTCTGCCTAAGATAGAAGGTAACCTTCTCACACAGGTTGAGAAAACCTCCAAACCCCTGCTCCACCCATACACTGCGGCACAGTTGCCCATGTGAGAACCTAGGCCGGTCCTTAGACCTGTACTTTGGCGTGGGATAGACGAGGGGACTTTTGAACCTCAGAAGCCCGCCTGAAATTCGAACTCAGGACCTGCACCTAACTGACTCAGCTATAGAGCCCCTTTCGCATTTGCAGTGAATTTTACCTACATAAACTTGATTAACCACTTAAGGGTCAATACTAACTGGACTTGCTGATTCTTTGAATTTAACCTGATGATGCTCTGATTATATGATGCAATTTGTGAATCGCCACCTAGCTTTATTTCTGCAGCAATGTTCCTGATAACATCTCTTAGAGACTGCTTGTATTACTGCGCTGTTGGATATTTCCTCCTCTTTTTTAGCTTTCAGCTTTCAGTTATTCTATTCTTGATGTGGGGTTGCACAGCCTAAAAAGACCATTTCTACAGTGTGATAGAAAAGCCCTTTGGTTCTGAAAAAAAGCCAATCTTGGTTCTTGATGTTGGAGAGCCCTTTGGTTCTGAAAAAGCCAATCTTGTTGTATGATATTCTTTTTCAGGGAATGCATGTATTTAGATTTGAATTATCAATGGCCTGTTCTACGGATGATTTCACCATTAGAAGTTTAGCACCAATGCTTCTGTTCAAGTGATGATCTAATGATTAATGTTCACACTAATGCTCCTGTTCAAGTGAAGATCTAATGATTAATGTTCTAGTGTATTTTTTTGTGTGCTGCATGCATTTTCACAATCTCATAATGTGAGTTTTCTTAACAAAATGACCATTTCTACTATTTTGCTTTGCTTATGTGCCAAAACATTCATTTTACAGAAAATGCACAGCCGTCATCTTCTGACCGAGTACTGATCTACTCATATACGCAAAATACATGGTCATATGCATACGCTCACAGGTGCTTCTTCAGGGCTTTTCTATCACACTATTAATGAAAATTTATGAAGTCTTAACTTAACTTGAATAAATAGTATCAGGCTATCAGCAGAAGGAGCAAACTGAGATATTTTCTCAATGGGTAATAACTTGAAGAAACAGCTGTCCATGATGCTTGGTGTTTCCACTACTGTCCATGAGCAAACTGAAATGTTATTTACATGGTTATTTTCCTCAAGTCAATGCACCTCTCTGCCAAGTATTCTTGTGCACTGTTTATTCAAAGCACAATTGACAAATTAGAATTTAGAACAATCAAAGATTGATGTTTTGGACTGCCACATAATGTTTCCTTCAATTTAGTTACCACTTGTTCAGTAATGTTATGAGTGACTCAGATGGGTGTTGAAGGATATTTGTTCAATTCAACCTATGTTTGTGTCTTCATATTGGACAAAATGTCTGGATACAGCTCGCTGATGGGCACAGGTGTTCAGATTTCAAAGCTCGCCAAGTGGTCAGTTCTGATCAGCTTCTGCTGCTTCCAAAACCATCATTGATGCACCAATAGGCAAATGGTACTGGGACAGTTGAAAATCCCAAGAACATCACTAATCCATTCATATTCTGCTGGAGGAATTCTATGGCTGATATGGACATTTATACTTTTTTATCATTTAAGACTGTCAAAATGAAGATGGTGATATCCATGAGAGACAGAAACTATTCACCAATTTAGAGCTACAAAGGCCTAAGAACATCCTGTGTTGAAGCTATTGATACTTCACAAAGCTTTTCTTTATATAAGAAACACAATTTATTACCTACCACTACGCTGCACAATAAGTGCAACTAGGCTATCTTTAAAGATGCTAAGTGCATAGAGTTTTTAACTCATTAACTCAAGTCACTGATTCAATAAACAGTGAAACAAATGATCAGTTAATTTGAGCTAACAAACCGTGTGCACCAACAACAATATTTTTTGCAGGAACATCAACATCTAGGAATAGTGACCATCAGGTACGTTAACCGCTGTTACCTTTCTTGCAAGCAAGATAGTTTACTCATAGTAAATCTCTTGCTGCATTTTCCCAAGGAATTTCTACAACTGGAAGATACTATTTCTGTAGGGCTTTATTTCAAGTTGAACACTTCAGCAAAATATGCTAACTGGAAGCCTTATAAGTTACTCCATCAGTAACTTTTCAAGTCTTTTCCCTTATATTTATTTATGCATTTGCTTCTAGCAGTATATATTGGAGCGCTCTCTCTTATGAACACTTGCTTGCTTACATGTAAAAATTTCGCTGACTAGCCACATCTGCAGAATCAACAAATTTGGTTACCTGTTGCGAACCTGAGCAGTTTTTGAGGGCCTTTTCCCTTTCTTTGAGTAATCTGTGTTCCCTCCAATAAACTTAACCGTGCTCTCAGCTTGGTACCAGGTCTTAAACTGTTATGGTTATAGCTTAGTATCAGTGTCAAATTTTAAGATTTCACCTTGCCAAAATTTTGTTTATGCAACACTGAAGTTCTATTCCCAAGTTTACTATAGTATCAGTTGTGCACTTTGCATCATCTTTTCACTAACCTCACAGTAACATCGAGAAGGTAAATAATCTTAGACCCCCTAATGCGGTAGGGAAGGTGTTGTATTCCTCCTGAATTTCTAGTTAAAATTCATTTAAGTACAGCAATTTCTGGAGCAAAGAGCTTTGCATTTACATCAGTCATAAACACTTTATTCAATCATACATATTAAGATAAATCTACTATAAAACCTGCTATTTATTCCCAGCCGAAGTTGTCAGTTGTTTCATCTTGAGTCACATGATTCAACCTTCGACAAGCTCTGGTATTGAGGTTATTTATTCAACTCTGCAGGCTGCTTATTATAACTCTGCTAAAGAATTTGATTAATTCGAACTATTGAAATAATTGCACCCATGTTGATCTCTTCTTTGAGGAATACCAACTTCAGGGTTCATCAACAGTCTGATTTCTTATCACAAGCTATTGCCTATTGGTAATACTACCCATTCCATAACGTAACTGATTTAGTTTTGCTGAAAGGGGGACTCTGCTCTCTTTGCAATTTTGCATCAGCAGAAGGATCCTCACACAGTAACACCCAAAAACATAGGCCCTGTTCGGCTGGCTGGTAAAACGGCTGATGCTGATTTGTTGTGAGAGAAAAATACTGTTATTTCACCGAAAATGTACAAGTTTAAGTGAACAGGGCCATAGAAGGAATGAAGGAAACCTTGTCAAAATTTCAAATAGGACAGGCCTAAGTACATATGACTTTTGGACTTGCTAGCAGCCTTGTTCGTTTCGCTGAAATTTGGCTTATGCTGATGTTTATCCTGATTTTTTTAAGAGGAAAACAGTGTTCTTCTGTTGAAGTAGCTGTACTTTCATGAAATGTAACACTCCATCTCGATTCGTAAAGTTTGATACCCTCCTCGGTACTATGCAAAGTCGACGAATGAATGGTGACGGATTGGCCTCAATATCCAATACGGAAAGACCGAAAGAGTGCCATGGTCATGGACTCGTGGTCCTGGCTTCCCTCTGCCTCTGAGTCTCTGTTGACTAAGGAAGGGTTGCGTCAACGAATCAAGGGCGAAAGACACGCCTTTGCCCAGACTTTGAAACACGAGAATTCGTCATCCGTCAATGACGAAACGGGGAGTGTAGTCCCTCTGGGATGCCGGATGCCCTTCCCATGCGGAGAAAAGAATGTCGATGCTCTGCTAGCCCTGCAACGTAGTACAATTTAAAGTGGGGGAGTATAAAACATTGCCAAAGTCCCTCTCCTGTATGGCTATTTCTTGCTAGGGCGCTTCCGATTCAAGTCCAACTTGTAGGGTTTGTTTACTTGGAAAGTCGATGATTTCTGTCTGACTAGGCATGTTGGAAGAATGTGTGTTTGGTTGGAGGACATTGCAAAGTAGTGTTCTTTTGTTTTCTCTTACAATTTTTGCTCAATATAGTAAGGGCTTAGATTGATACAGTACTATTTTATTGGTTCAATTTGCTCTACAAAACACTAAGAAAGAAAAAATATATAATTTTTATAGAACTTAATTAAATAATCATAGCAATAAAGAATAGTTTAATATGTGATTAGTGCCGACAAACGGAGCTACCTGGCTCCCCGAGAGGGCATTACACTTCTCTGGCACTAGGGCCCTGCTCATGTTAGAGATATCCATAAAGATAGAGCTAGAGCAAAATAGAGAGATGTGCGAGGCTATATAACGGTTCTAAGGTGAAAATTAGGCATGGTAGTTCATTACTCCCTCCGTCCCTAGATCGCTTCCCGAGAAATAATTTTAACTATTTTTTTATAA